GGAAGCCAAAACAGGAGAAATCTGCTCTCTCTTTCTAGTCCCTGTCAGGACTCTTGCTGCAGCATTTTGGATTAGCTGAAGGCTTTCAGGGAGTTTTAGTGTGTGGCCTTTACAGCACCTGCACACAGAGCTGGTTCACAACATTACATTTTTTCACATCCAACAAAAACAGGAATTTCCAGCGTGCAGTGAACATATCACGGCCTCCTGCTGGTCACACTGCAGCGACTCAACCAGCTAACCGATGATGTCACAGCGCAGTTAGCGCGGGCAGATTCAGCAGAGCTAATGTCCTGGTTTCACTTCCTTGAGTCTGAGTGACGCGTCACGGGACGAGCTGGTCGAGCTTTACTGTTACTTCCTGGTTCCAGGTTTAATAAACATGCAGATTGTTACTTCCTGTTCACCTGTCAGGTAAAGTTCTGGTTTGCAGGTGGAGGTTTGATGCTCTGTTCTTTCCTGTAACATCCTGTCACAGGAAGGCAGCCGGTGTAGTGATACAGTGATAATCTTTGTAAAACGCGTTACACCCACACACCTGCTTCTCTCTGCAGTAACGAGTTCAGTCAGATGGTGGCCGAGGAATATCTCACCAACTTTGACTTCACGGGTCTGACCATCGACCAGGCGCTCAGGTGAGTCCCGCTTCCTGTCCGTGTTTATTTGAGAGCGTGCAGACGCAGATGCAGCGCCTCCCGTCTCTCTGCGGTTCTTTAATGTTTGTGCAACTGCGTGATGGCTGAACATCTGCAGGAGGTCCAGATGTTCATATGAACCAGTCACGGTGTGCCGTGGAGTGCAGTCAGTCACTTCCTGCGTGCTCTGCTGTGACCTTTCTGATGGAGAAGCTCAGAGCTGACGTTTTTAAAGGATCAGGAACTTTTTCCGACTTCATCCCAAATTCTGTCAGTTTACAGCAGGACTGCCACTATCAGGGCTTTTAATGTGAAAAACCTGTGCAGTGGGCGTGTCTGTGTTCATCTCACCTGTTCAGGTGTTCTGGTGACATCATAATGAGCTTCTTTAACATCTGTTTCTTCGTTCAGGACGTTTCTGAGGCAGTTTGCTCTGATGGGGGAAACTCAGGAGAGAGAGAGAGTCCTCGCTCATTTCTCCAGGAGGTACCGACAGTGCAGCTCGGAGAGCCTGACCAGCGAAGGTACCGTCAGTCCTACCTGTCCTCTTTCACCTGTCCTACCCGTCTGACCCCTCTGTCTGCCGCTCTGTCCCACAGACAGCGTCCACACTCTGACCTGTGCCATCATGCTGCTGAACACGGACCTGCACGGAAACGTGAGTGAACCCGAGCCGTCGGCCGATTGGTCGTTACGTTTAATAGCGTTCCCGCGAGTTTCCCCCTGTTTCATGTCAGCTGCTGCTTCCTTGTTGGTGTGACATACAGGAAATAATAAAGTTTAATTTCATCAATAACAAATTAATAAACGGAAAAAATAATAAAATGATAAATATTTGTTTCCAGAGTTTCATTATAATGAAATCATTTGAAAAATGATAAAAAAGGAAAGTTTTATAAAAATATGAATAAATATAAAAATGAGCAAAGAAATATTAGAAAATCCATTTTATGTTATTATTGAAATATTGATCTAAAAATGTGACAAATAGATGGAAAACAAATAAATGTGACTGACTCGCCATCATGAGGAGCGCCGCGGGCTCGTCGGGGCTCATTCTTCATTTCTGCTAATGAACTTTTTTAAGGAAGTGCTGACTGTTGCTGCGGCAACATGCCCGCACGTTTCCTCTGACCAGCAGGACTGACAGGAAGTCTCCGCTGCCCCCTCGCATTAAACCCGACTCTAGCGCCGAATAGAAGAGTTTAACTCCACCTGTGCAGCTTCAGGTGGAACAGTTTCTGTTTCCAGATCGTTCTCCCGTCAGCATCAGCGAGCGTCCTTTGGTTTGTGGGGTCAGATCCGACCCACAGCTGTTTTAACTTTGGGTAATTTGGGGTGAGACTAGCTTTCCTGCTAACACGGAGACTTACTGTGTGCTGAGCTCAGCGAGCTGATCTGCTAACCAGCCGATTCACATCCCGAGCTAACGTCACAGATCAGTGACTGTGGGTTCATGTTCAGTCTGTCACATCTGAGGTGTGTGTGCGTG